ACTACCAATGGCTATCTAAGATCGATAACTTGCCTGGTTTCACTGGATGACATGCTCCAGATACTTTGAAGCCAAACTATCTATCTAATAACAAACACAAAAGAACCATCAATAATAATAGTAAAAAAAACTAGTCTGTTTTTACAGAGACAATAATTATGATGTATATAAAGCTAAGGTTCTATAAATACAAATAAAAGCTGTATAGCATTCCATTAAGACATCACATATTGATATTAAATGTTTTTACACCTGATAAGAAGATCAAACACCCATACTGACTTCCAATGAAATATAAAAGAACCTACAACCCCCTTTTAATTCTTCTCCTCACTGATTTTCGTAGGGAAATCAATTATGTTCTTGACCCATATATCTTACACTAGAGAATTACTGTGGTAACACTGCTGCAACTCTAAAAAATTGTAGAGCAAAATTCATATAAACAGCTCAAGGCAATTAGCTATTACATCAATCACAGTGTATGTATAAGGATATTCAAGTTATGTTGGTAATATACACAGAGCAAAAGAAATAGAGCAAACAAATCTTTTACAAACTATGGAAGTGACACTGTAGCAATTCTTTAAACCACAGTGAAGGTGATTCTTATATAAGCTATCAAAAAATTAGTGATGTGCATTATTTTTCATCTGAACAAGAAGTTAGCAGCACAAATTAATGAACTCTGTATTGTATTGTGTGGCAAGTCTCCACCAACTGCACACACCACCCCATTCTCAAACCTCATTCCTCTTCTAGCTCCTCTCCCTGACTATATCACGAAGATGTGATTTAATTCCTCCCTCTTTCTTCTTGTACTGGAACCTAATATGAGTGAAGTACTAAATTTGAGCACTGCATGACACACCTGATCCCACCAAAACCCTATCCATTCCTACATTCTCTTCTTCATGAAAACAAATCTTTTCTTGTCTATTTACATTTTATATTCATATGAAAAATGCTATTTATTTATTTATCTATCTATATTTTTTTTTTACTTTACACTTTCTTCCATTGTTATTCATACTGTGGGATGTATCTTCTGCAAGTTCTCAGCTTTGACCCTTGACTGTGCAGTATTTGAGTGAAATATACATTCTTTTCCTCCCAGGGGGGAGGGGCGAAGCTCTTGAAATATTAAAGACCAAGGACTTTGAGGTCTTTCCAGCAGGGTATTTGCTGTGTACAACTCGCCTGACATGTATACATTTCTTATCATGAATGGTAGAATTTCCATGTCTACAGCCATTCCTGTCAGTAAGAGGATAGATATATATCTTAATACTATATATCGAATATTCTTTTGTCAAAAATACGCTGCTATTGACCGAAGAACAGTTGGCATCATATCATGACCATTTCCGCGCCATTGGTTTGTCAGACAGAGTTTGTTCTTCTCCGATAGTAGCGGTTTCATTTATATGGTAAACATTTTAGGCAATATCACCAATAATAAATGTATGCCTTCATGATTTTAATATTCTTATAAATTATAGCAAAATAAAAGCTTTTAGGTGCCCAATGTTGCTAGCAAATTACTGAACATGCTGGGCGCAACAATCCCATTGTCACGTCCACATGCCAAACTTTTTTACCCAGCGGCATTTGGTTAATAGATATATTGCAGATACAAGTCTGTCTACTCTGCAACTTTGTACTGGGAAAATCAGACAAAAACATTTAATGTTGGTAAACTATATTTCTTATGTTTGGATCTGCTGTGGAGAAAGCGAGCTAAAAAATAGTATTCTCCCTCCTTTTTATTGTAAAAATGCATTCATGTAATTGTGACTTAGCTGTAGTTTCAAATCTGTCAAAGCCATGGTATCCAGCACCAATACAGAGTATTCTTTCTTGAAACTGTACCTGCCGATAACTTGAGGAAATTACCAACTCTTCACAAGTACCTCCTTTTTAATTGCCAATAGCCATTTACTTCAATATTCCACTTGGAGCAAATGTATATCCTTTTTCTTTGGAAAAGTTAACATAGCTGTTTAAATTTTCACCCTGCAGCTGATTTACAGATGTGAATACATATAAGCAACCCTTGGCAACTGTGCTGGGTATGTTCCTAAACCTGTCTCCAATGTAAATAAAAAAAAAAGTATGAATGTGTACAGTGCACAGAACACTAGCATATGGTTAGCACATAACAACTACATTATTCAAAAGACAATTTGAAGTTATTATACCATCTTAAAATAATAAACATTTGTCGAAAATAAGGTGCGATGGCCCCCTTAATGGTTTAGAGTGCAAATAAGCCTCTCAATATTTCACAGAGTAAGCCTTCATATCAAAACTAAATTATAAACTGAATAAAGTAAAATGTGCATAGAGACAATAATGATATTGACAATAACACAGCTGCACTGTTCATGCCTATGAATGGGTATGAGGAGGATGGCCATATTTTGTTACACTAAAAAGGGTATTCAAGTATGATATGCTTCTAACATTTGCACAAACTTCTTAAACTATTTTGAGTCTTTTTTTTCTAATTGATAATTTTGTATTTCATCCACATTTTCCTTTTTTGCAGTGTTTTTTTACCCCCCCCCCCCAAGAAATACTATCTTTGATTTCTTATATCATTTTCATATACTATTATCATAATCAGCACACAATTATGATTTCTAAACATCAAACTGTAGCGTTATATTGGTATACATATGCCAATATAATAATAATAATAATAAAAACAATAAAATTTGTAATAAGAAATGAGACTGCCAGAACAACAGAGAAACTCAGATTTTCACATTTCAAATCAAACTAGGCTTTATTAAGGTGGTCACAAAAAAGTTTCACCCCTAACAAATCCCTAAAAATATTTGCACTCTCAGACACACGTCCTAACTTTGCAGATTTGGATAAACTTCAACTAGTTTTAAGTGCATTTTCCAACTGAAAATATTAAACAAGGCACCCCTACTATCCATAATTCACTATAGCAGCGGCATCATAATCACAAGATTTTAAAATTACAGTGACTACCAAGTGCATACAAACAGTAGTTTTGTGCACATGTAACTGCAATGAAATTTTACTGGTGGAATTTTCTCTATGCAACCATGCCTTTTGACATACACAAGACTGCACATGACATTAAGAGGAAAAAGATAAGTGTCACAACAGAAAAAGATCTCTAACACCAACCATCTAACTAGCAAGAATGTACAGTTTGTAATGCCATAACATTATGGTATGCCTAAAATGAAAGGGATAAATAATCAGCAATAAACTTTACCAGCAACAGGTAATGCCATCACATTCTACAGGATGGTAGTCAGGTTCATTTTGTTTTGTCCAAGTCAAATAATTCATGAAATGACCAGTTGTTTTCTTGCATAACTGATGTTCTTATTCTATATGATAGTAACAAACTTTTAACCATTCAGCTTATATTTTATATACTTTTGACTGTACAGAGCCAAATCTTTATAAAAAAAAAAACATTTATGCAGAATTTAGGTCATGGTCTACAACTCTCATTTCCAGATAGGAGTTATGACAAGATATAAAATCTTCAAAATAACATTTGCACTGTCATTTGTAAACAACTACTACTTCTCCCACTCCCTCACCCAGACACATGCAATCACACTCACAAACAAACACATGATATTCCATAAAAATTTCAATAGTCAAGAAAAACAAACAACTGGAAGTTAGATTTCTAAGGATGCATACATCAGTTGTATACATGTACATTTTAACTTTCTTCCTTCCTTCCTTCTTCCTTCCTGTTTTTGTACCATATCATATTAGCTTTCCTTTCACAGGAACTCATATTGCTGTTGCAAAAAGATAGAATCAGTCAAGTACTCTTTCCAGGAACCTTAACCATGTTCATAGCCTGTTTAGATCTTTCAGGTGTCACTTTCGTGGATCTAGAAGCTGTATTTACTTCTTCTAGAATTGTAAAAACCCATAGGAAAAATGTCAAGTTCAATACCCAAATTTAACAACCTTCAGCAGAATACTACATGAACGGGCCAACTTGTCAATACCATTGAAAAATTCCCAAGCTGAAAATATATTTTATATAAATAACTGGTTCAATGTACTTGCTACAACCAGTAATATTACCTTAGATCCCCACAGAGGACTGTACACATAAAAGTTTTTGTCCTACAGGTCAGATTGCACACATATATAGTGAATAGTCTGTAAAAGGTATAGCAAGATAGACTGTTCTATCAACTAGGCTCTCCCAGCCAAGATAACACATACCTTTCCCATCTTCTTCCCATTCTCCCTCCCACATACCCTTTTTTTCTTTCAATGTATTGTTCAAAGCCAACATACATCTCCCCGCCAAGCTGAGAGGAGCATCAACTCGGTCCACATAAATGAGGTCATTCTTGTGTAAAATCTTTATGACAAAGACATCAGTACTAAGTAGCTATCTTGCAGCACTGCCCTTACTTGAATAATGTCACTGGTTTCTTGCATTGCTCCATAGAGATATAGTAGTTAAAGAGCTGTATAAACCATTTAAATTCATACTGCATTCAAGGCTATCAACTTTTAAGTTTTTAGTACTTTCCTCCTGATGACTTTAGTCAATTTTACACAAATAATTGAAACTAATTATTCCCTCTTATGCGACATTACTTCAGTTGTCATGAATCTAGAAAAAATATTTAAAATCAATGGCTTTCAAAATAGCTGGACCATAAACAAAAAGGCATTGATATGGTTTGCTCTTTTTAAAGAGAGAAGGACTCCTCGATAAATACTGATTCACAGAATATGAAAAAGTATGAATAATTATTGGCATACTCACCAAGTTCGAAGATGATGTGTTGTGTTGACAATACAGATGGCAGGGACTTGCCCTCTTGCTGTCTTGAGCGCAACACAATGCACTGATATTTCACCATTTCACTTTACTTCACTTCTCACTTTCACTGATCATTTCTCACTCACTAATATCCCCACACTATTTCACTAGCCAGGCAAATACTCTCTCATTGATCAATGACTTAGCTCAGGGCTTCAGTCACTATTAATCTCTGGTGTGAACTTATGATCTCCAACTTGGTCCTGAATGCTTGAGCGAGTCCATGCAAGACACTACCTTACAAAAAAGTTTATGACCAATACCTTACAGCTAAGCCGAGTCCACATGGTGGGGCCTGGCTCTGTGCAACCTGCTAGTGAGTGTCACCTACTGCTGGTATATGGACTTGACCAACCACTCACTACTTTCACTGAAAGTTCATTATACTACTATTTGGATAATGGTCTCTTAAGATATACTGACGGACAAGTCCACTGGGTAGAACTTATTTACCAGCATATATTTACTCTTCTACTATCTGAAGTTCTAATTATCAAAAGGAAACACCTAGTCTATGCCTGCTCTTGATGATGGTAGTTAGGTATTAACTGATGTGGAGGTACGCACTGCACTGGTTATGTTTGGTGGTGTGTCACTCACTAGCCAGGTTGTGTGAGAGAGAAAGGGACAGAGTCCTGTGAGAGGATAGGGGTCCTCAGCACTGGGTGAGAGACAGAGCGGTAACAAGACACTGAGGGAGTGAGTGGGGCTGACCCACTAGGGGCCATGCCAGTCTCACGTGTTTACCCTGATACTAGCAGAATCCGTGACACGTTGCCACGCACTTACTGACTGTCAGTCCATTTACTGTATTGGATACTGGAGAGTCTTATCTGCTAGTTGCCACTGTTGCCACCATAGGAATGCTACCATACATCTCCTTCCACAACACAACTTCAACCGAGACCAGCACTGACTGTTGTTTGTGATGAATACTGAAAAAATGGTCTTGAATGTCTAAATACTGATTTCCACTTATTTAAAACTGGGTCATGTGTGCTGTTGCATAATAGAATTATAGGGTTTCATTACTAAATCAGTTTCAAACTGCAACATGTGTGGTGTTATGTAATGTGATGGCCACAGTACTAGTTCACTGGTGAGAGATGAAGCTATCATTACCCAGAGAGCCATCACTGCAAATCAATATGATATGTAACTCTCCAAAGCCGTGACTGAACCTTGGTGGTAGTGACGCACCTGAAGCTTACGTCCCTCGGCCCCGGAAGTTTCCACGTTCTCTGGGGCGGCCACGGCGGTCTCCTGCTGGTTGAAGTGCCGCCGCGCGGAGAGGCCCCCTGGCCCGAGCAACCCGTGCTGCTCGCTTGCTTTTGTGCAAGACTGGCGGTAGATTAACCCCGTCATCTTTGGGAAAGAGTCGACAAAGCTCCTCTGCTACTCTTGGTTCAATCTCCTATAAACAGAGATAAAGATTCTTTTGTCTTTCTCCTTGAATATCTTACGCATTAACAATAAGTGAAAAAGGACACCTGAAATAAAGTAGTAAAATGAAACAAATATCTTTTAACAGATTGCACTGACAACTTTTAAAATCTTGCTTTACATATTCAAGTTTCAATTACTCATTTTTTCACTCAATTACAGCTTTAACTTATTGATTACAAATCATATTTCCAAACAAGTTCATTGAATGATTAAACACTAAATTTACTTTGAGCTTTCTCGTACTGATGTTACTTTCTGCATCTTCACCTTTTCCACATCTTAGTATACAGATAAAAATAATCCATCTTCACTGCAGTGTAACACAAGTTTGTTCATTACTAATAAATCAAAACATTAGCAGATTAAGTGTCAATGAAAAGTAAGTGTTTAAAATCAATACTCTTACCTTATTTGAGCAAATTTTAATCTTTGGTCTTTACTGAGATCACATACGCAATCACAACCACAATTTACACTGTGCAGTCACAATCCCAGTCTATCTGTCTGTCCCTTTCATCACAAAAGTGGCAAAGAGTGAAACATCACAAAAGTGGCAAAGAGCGAAACCTAGATCTACATTACAGGATCATATAGGTGAACCAGTTAATAACTGAAATGAGACACCAACGCAAGATAGACAAAAAGATTTAAGGAGAATAAGAAAGAATTATCTTTCATTTCCTCACATACCAAAGACATACCAAACCTGACTGCTTAATCTAGGAGTAAGATTAAGTTGGAGGATAAAATATTCCATGGCAAAGAAATCCAAAGAACAATAATGATATTAAGTAATCATTAATGACCTAATACTTCCCACTTAAGATTATATGATGGTCTAAGAATGCATGCTAAGTATTAGGCAATTCAATAAGAGAGATGAATTACTAGATAAAATGAAAAGCCATATGATAATAGAATCTCAGAAAATTCATGAGACTTTTATCATATGGATTATCATAATACAAGCTTAATTATATTATCTATATAATCTTCTATCAACCCCTACAATCCGAATGACTTACGGTCCCGTCAAGGAAATATCTGGGTTGAGGGCTGGGTGACGTGAACATGCCATCATCGGCAAAATGGCAGCAGGCTGGGTGACGCCAACTTGCTGTCATGAGCGAAGGCGAGGGTGATGGAAAAGACTCGCCAAGGATGCATAAACCTCTTGGAGTGTGATTTGACTCATTTGGCGCTTAGAAGGGGGCTTTCGCATTATTCCCATCAATAAACAAATGTGGGATATATGCATAAGCTGTGACTGGAAGAGCGCTGGCTATAAGGAGGACGCCATTTCCATGCTGTGCACCATATTCCTGGCCACTGTGACCAGCAGTGCAAGGTATATTATGGAAAATTGAAAATTACAAAAAATAAGATATATGACACAAATAAGCCAATGTTCCTTACTTTTTTTTTCTTGCACTGAGTTATTACTACATGGAGAGATGATGGAGTCTGTGCAAGGAAAAAAGCTATTATCATCTGGATAAAGCAATTCAAAAGAACATTGGAAAATAGCAAAAAGGCTACAAAAATTCACTCAAAAATAACTTTGCAAAGGGGAGGCACTGAGTCTTGTCACCATTCATGGGTTTTCAAACACTCTAAACGGATCCAATGGGTTAATAATCATAAAAGGAAACCTCACCGGAAGGCATAAAGATCAATTTGAATAGAAAAGAAAAGAAAAACACTATTTGCACTCTTACCTGACCATCTCTTCCAATCTTTACTGGTTTGCCTTCATTCCAGGGATTATAAAGGTGCTGAGTTTTGGTGAAGGAGAGATCCTTTCTGCAAATAAAAATATATAACCATTAATACCAGTACCCCATATCATACCTTTATACGGAAACTGTGCAATGTGATAAACATGTAACTAATGTATAAAACAGAATAAAAGGAAAAGTCTTGAATCATGTGTGAATAAATGATAAGCATTTGTATTCCCCTCACAAGGAGGTGCAAATGATACCTTTTGAACCTGGGTTCCATGGGTCCCAGATAAAAAACCCTTCTAGAGTAATCCTACAAATACATATACAAGGCTTACTTTTGTAATCTTAACTCAAAACTCAAACATCCTTTGTAAGAATTACCTAGATATCCAGTCCATCTCAAATACCCCCTAAAGCACGAGCTGACAATCCTGGAGGCAAAACCCAGGACACTGGGGGAAGGTCTCGTCTTGACTCCCCTGACAGGCGTGCGAATCCTGAAAGTCCGAGAAAAATGAGTAAGCCTAAGAAAAAATTATGTAGGATGGCAACCAAAAGATGCCTCAGCTATTCAAATCCAGTATTTCAAAGAGAGCACACAAAAAAAACCAAAATAAGTAATCACTCACCACAGAAACGTCCACTTTCTTTAACTGAGAAGATAAGGATAACATTCCTAGCTTCCCTGTAAGCCTGATTGAGCTTTGCTTCATTCTGAGGAGGTGTAGACCACACACCTTTGGACTTTGATAAAACAATGTTCTCTCCGTTGTTGGACTTCATCAGGAAGAACCGTGCATCACGGAACATGTAATTTACTTTGGTTATGTAGTCATATTTTTCTTCGTTGTATTCTCCTTTACCTTCTTTTCCGGTGCTGTTAAAAATCATTTACGTAAAAGTGTGAACTAATTGTAATCTTTATTTTGGCTTCCCGACAAAAAAAGTATCACACATGAAACTACCTTAAAAATTCATCACTTTCATAATAAAATATGTCCAATATACTATATAAAAAAGTCATGATAAAGCAGAAAAAACTATTCCAAATCAAAAAGCCTTGGTAAAAAAATATATTTGTGCACACAGATTCTTAGTATGCACATCTTTCTCTATCAGAACATATATAGACATATTTATGCCTAAATGTTTATGTATATTAAAAGTGTGGCTACTATTTATAGGTCTGTAACAGGCAGAAATGTAGTTTCAAACAATGCTGCCTAACACCTGAACAGCATCAAACGTAAACTAATAATTATACTGTATTTGGCAATTATGTATTTCCAGTACTAAACATATCTAGCAAAAAATTAAGAATTGTGGGGGTGGATACTCAAACATGCTACAGCACTGTAATCCTTTTTAGGTGACATAGGCCTTCCAAGCCCATGTCACCTAAAAGTGAAAGTGCTGTTTACAAACTCAGCCTGATAAGTGTTGTTGTGCTTTGCGATTAGTCAAATATACCGAAGAGCCCGCCTAAAACAGGAGCTGTAATTGGCCACTTGAAAGATCCAACACTAGATAATTTACAGTGACACAAAGGTATAAGTGTGGACATAAAGCTGCAAAACAAGTTTTTTATACAAGATGAAATCTGAGATAAGTCACCGCATCCACACTACTATTTGGTCACCAGACCGGAAGGTAAAGCCTCCTAGGTACCCTTTGAGTATCCAGCCTTTGACCCACAAAACATCTCCAAAGTTACATATTGCAAGGTATAAGAATTTATTAAAATCCCACTCCATCAGTATAGTTACATAAATGGTGTCAGAATCATCAAGCTTCATTTGCTATTAAATACATTGCAACATTACTGATTTCCAACTTGGAAAAGCTTCTCTATGTTTTACCTGTGTGTATACATAAAGAATATGTATTAATCTAAATCTCAATGAAAATAGTACACATATAACACTTACAATCGTCATTACTCTTCACTGAGGTCTCTGATGCACTGTGTTTCTTTTTTCTTGTTTTCTTTTTCTTCTTCAATATCTTCTTCTCAGCTGTAAGTAATAGAATATTCTAAAAAGAGAATCCTTTTAAGCAATCTACAAAAATATGACTATATATAAACATTACTGAGGAGAGAGGGAGAAAGAGAGGGAGAGAGGGAGAGAGGGAGAAGGGGGGAGAGAGAAGAGAGAGAGAGAGAGAGAAGAGGAGAGAGAGAAGAAGAGAGAGAGAGAGAGAGAGAGAGAGAGAGAGAGAGAGAGAGAGAGAGAGAGAGAGAGAGAGAGAGAGAGAGAGAGAGAAGGAGAGAGAGGGAGGGAGGGAAGGGAAGGGAGGGAGGGAAGGGAGGGAGGAGGAGGGAGGGAGGGAGGGAGGGAGGGGAGGGAGGAGCAGGGGAGGGAGGGAGGGAGGGAGGGGGAGAGGGAGGGTCGGAGGGGAGGGAGGAGGCGCGAGGGAGGGAGAGAAAGAGAAAGAGAAAGAAGAGAGAGAAAGAGAAGAGAGAGAGAAGAAAGAGAAAGAGAAAAGAGAAGAGAAAGAGAAAGAAGAGAAAGAGAAAAGAAAGAGAAGAGAGAGAGAGAGAGAGAGAGAGAGAGAGAGAGAGAGAGAGAGAGAGAG